TTTAAGCCCCCGATTCAAGCCCCCGAAGATTGAACCCCCAAGATAAAAAGAAAAACCCTCCGACTTGAGCGCTACGATTAAATAGAGAAACCTCCTGACCTAACCACCCGAAATTTGAACCCCCGAATGAATTAGAAAAAACATTCCGACTTAACCGGCCCCCCAATTAAAGAGAAAAGCGTCGGGATAAGGCCCCAAAATATGTATCCCCAAATTAAATAGAAAAACCTCCCGATTTAAGCCCCCGAAGATTAAACCCCCGAGTTTAAGAGAAAGGCGTCCAAATTATGGCCCTCAAACGTAAACCATCGCCCATATCAATAGAAGAACCTCCCGATTTAAGCCCCCGACTCAACCCAATGACGACTGAATCCCTGAATCAAATAGAAAAACCATACGACTTAAACCACCCGAACATTGAAACCTCCGACTTGAGGCCCCCGAATTTGAACTCCTAAAGTAGATAGGATAGTATTTGAATTAACATAAGTCAATTATAAATCTCCTAATTGAGTGGGAAAACCTCCCGACTTAACCCCCCGGGGATTGAACCTCCGAATAATATAGAAAAGCCACCGACTTGAACCCCCTGATTAAATAAAAAGCCTCCAATATACCTCCCGAATTGAAGAGAAGATCATCCGAACTAAGGCCCCGAATCAATTGAAATACATCACGATCGGACCCTCCAAATTGAATAGAGAATCCTCCCGGCTTAAGCCCCGACGACTGAATACCGAATTAAAAAGAAAATCATACGACTTCAACCACCTGAACTTTAGAACCCCCGACTTAACACTCCGAAGATTGAACCCTCAAGATAAAAGAAAAACCCACCGACTTGACCACCCGAAATTCAATTTCCTGACTTTAATAGCAAAGCCTCCCGACTTGAACCCCCGAATTAAATAGAATAAGGAAAACATCCCGACTTAACCCCCCGAAGATTGAACCCAGGAATTGATGAAGAAAAGCCTCCGATTTAAGCCACCTTAAGTTTAGATCCCTAATCATATAAAAGAACCTCCCAACTTAACCCCCAGGATTGAAATTCGAATCAAATAGAGAAACCTCCCGATTTATCCAACTAAAATTTGAACCCGCGTATTGAATAGAAAAGCCTCCGACAAAACCCCCCAATGACTCAACCTCCGAATTATGTAGAAGACCTCCGGACTTAACACCCCGATTAAATGGTAAAGCCTCCGAATTAAAGCCTTGAATTAACTATAAAAGCCTCTTGATTCAAGCCACCGACTAAACCCCCGAATCAAATAGAGAAATCTCCCGACTTTTCCCCCCGGAGATTGGACCCCCCGAACTACTATTCAGATAAGCCTCCGAATTAAGCTCCCTCATATATATACCCCTCCAATCGAATAGAAAAACCCTCTGAATCAAGCCTCCAAATAAATAGAGAAACCATCCGACTCAACCCCTCACCCCGAAGATCGAACCCCGAATTAATATGGAAAACCCGACTTAAATCCCCCCCTTGGTAGAACCCTCCGAACATTGAACCCCCGAAACCCCCCGACTCGGCTTTCATCGGCGTTTTCACTTGCCGGTGGCTTTCGGCGTTTCGGCGTTTGAGTTGAACCCCCCAGTCCGGGCACGACGCCGAACGCCGAACACCGAAAAGGGATTCGGCGGAGACGCCGAATGAGGGGTGGGTCGGCGTTCCGGAGTTTTCTTTGCTTTCAATGGAATTGTATTCGCCGTGCGATCGGGGAATTTTTACTTGGGAAATACAAGTTGGATTTGTAATTGGAGGGATTCATCTTGATTGTGGGGGTTAGTTATTCGCTACTGAGTGGTTCGGTGGGGTATTTGGGGTGTTTCTTTGGACTTGCTCGACTGCTAGGAGGGGTTTATCTTCGATTGGGGTTCTATTATGGTATATCCAAAGATTATAGCACTAAGTATTAGCAATTAATCTCGCAGATCTTGCAATGGGGGGCTATAATAATGTCATGGATGAGTGGGATGGCAATGTCGAGGGATGGGAGGAGTTTTAATGAATATTGAAGATAATTAGCTGAGAGGCTTGAAAAATTCGTGATATAAAAATAAATATCTGCTTATCTGCTTGTCGTCGAATGACCAGATTATGTATGAATAACTCCCTGGCTTCCCCTTTATTGTACCTATTTAGGTTAGTGATATGCCGGTAACAGCCCATCCATAGCCTAATGGTGGACTCGGTGTTCCTCGCTCGAGTCCCGAACAGAAGCCTTGGACATGCTCATGTCGTTTTACAATTGCAGGGCAAGGAAATGTTGCTTATAGCGTTGTGGGGTTAAAGTGATCTATTGGGTTCTGCTATTCGTAATCATGAATTGTTTAGGAAATCTCTCAGTCTCTGCTAGAGCAGTAATGTCTTACTCCTCGAGGATTGGGACATGATAATCATGCTCTTATAGATGTTACATGAAATAGAGCCTGTCAATAGGAAATTCGGGAATCTTTGTTTCGATGACAGTTTTGGCATTGAGTGATTGACAACATTTACGAAATCTCAACCCTGAAAGCTACGACTACAGTTGGTTTAAAAATGGCTAACTACTTCAAAAAGAGAAGTCCCAGTAGTATATATTGAAATTTAAGCAACGCACAAATCGAAATTCACGGTGAGGCACACGACATCGTGCGTTGGGGCCCGAATAAAAATAGCCGGACATGCAAGCTTGACCCGGACAAGCTTTTCGCTAAGTTCTTGGCTAACCAAGGCCAGACTGTCTGGCTGGCTGGCACCGTTCAGCTAGTGCCAACCTTGAAGGCAACTGATGAACGCTGAATGGACTGGTCGCTGCTGCGCCACTTTTGAGAGTGTGCTGCTGCCTAGTCTCCTCTTTTCTGCCGAAGACCCTGGATATTGCCCGATCGCTCGTGAAGTTTTCACTGCACTCCATGCGGCATCGGTCCGTGTCGACGAGAGCGCATCGCAAATATGGCATATGAACTCTCACGCGATCAATCTGAGGAAGGAGAGCCGTCCTCTTCTCGCGTTTTCGCTAAACACTCCCCTTTGGAGATGGTTCCTGAGGTAGAATCCGATCAGGATGAGAGCAGCTTCGAAACTCTACCTCTGACCAATTTTGGTCCTAATCGTCGGCGACGGCGAACCATCACTCGAGTACATCGCGGCAGGCTGCGCAGTCTATGTAGTTCCTGGAAATGCCGTCATTTGTATTGTCACATTCACCCGTACTCCCGGAGAGCCTTGCTCTGCAGATTCGTAAAGCGTCCCTTCTGGGGTGTCGTTATCGTGCTGTGAGTATCGCTTGTCACCTGCAGCTGCATCAATGGTCGCTCGCTAATCGCATCAAGCGGCCTCCTCAAAATCGCCTCCCTCTTTTGGTCTGGCTTAGTCTACCTCTTTCCAGACGACCTTGATGCCCGTCTCGACGCCTGGGTCTTCCCTGCCGGTCGCCCATCCATATTCTCGCATTGGACCACCCACGGTGTCGTCCCCGTGCGATGCCACTCACACAATGACTACTGGCGCGATGTACCACTCCATTCGGCCCTTACCGCCGGCTGTATCGGTGTTGAAGCTGACGTCTGGCCATCCAACAATGACTTGCTCGTCGGACATACCCCTTTCACACTGCACCACGAGGTCACTCTCCGCAGCCTGTACCTCAATCCTCTTCTAGACCTGCTCCAGAAGCACAACACGCGCTCGAGCCAACTCGAGCCCGCGCACCATCCCGGCAGCTTCCGCGCCGGAGTATTCTCCAGCGACCCATCACAGACCCTGGTCCTGCTCATCGATTTCAAAGAGCAGCCGGAGGCCACTTGGTCCATGGTGATGGAGCAACTCCAACCCCTCCGTGACGGAGACTACCTCACCTATTTCAACGGCACAGACATCATCACCCGGCCCCTCACAGTCGTCACTACCGGCGATGCGCCCTTCGATCGCATCACATCGAACCAAACATACCGCGACATCTTCTACGACGCCCCGCTAGACCAGCTCGCCCTCCTTCCACCCAGTACCGAACAACCCGATCATCCAAATCCAGAAGCAGAGCCCACCTACTCGTACAAGAATAGCTACTATGCCTCTGTCGACTTCCGCAAGACTATCGGCAGTCTATCCCGCAATCGATTCTCGCAGGGACAGCTGGAGCTGGTCCGCAAACAGGTTGAAGCTGCGCACGCGCGGGGCTTGAAGGTGCGGTACTGGGGAACCCCGAGCTGGCCGCGGGGTTTGCGGAACCATGTTTGGCATGTGTTGGTGCGGGAGGGAGTGGATTTGATTAATGTGGATGATTTGAGGGAGGCCACGAGGCAGGATTGGAGGAAGCATCGGAGTTGGTTTTTTTGATGGTTGTGGATGGAGTAGCATAGTTCTGTGGGTATATATGTTGGTGGAGTTATGGAAATGTGAATGTGAATGTGAATTACTCATTGATGTTGCTTTGTCTTATCTGGGTAAATGGTTCAATATGCAATAATCCGGTAAAGTAGAGAAGTATGGGAACTTAATCAACGCTGATAAGGTATTGACATCGCAAAAATTTTACGAAAAGGGAAAGTCCTAGTGATTGGGAGTCTTCTAGAAATAACAGACGCGATAGAAGAACAATATATCCAACGCATAAACATGGCTTTCTCTAGGAATCTGCCATATAAATATCCATCAGTTTCAACCACTACGTACATACAAGTAGTGGCAACGGGGCATCTTCGGAGGCGGATAAATCCCTGCACCGACCGCATCACGAAGTCCCCTTGTCTCCAGGAGGAAACCAATTTCACCATTACATATAGCCCAATTCTGTCACGGCTGTGTCAGAATCCAGTGGTCCATAATTTCCGTATCTCCTTCTTCCTAATAAGTTCTGCTTCTTTGATTAACATGGACTACTTTGAAAGTGATCTCGTCAAGCCTCCAATTCCATATACCAAGGGGTGGAGATTCAGTGCCCGATCACATACTACACCAGCGCCCACACCAGTGACCCTAGATGGATGTCGCAACTCCGACAATGGGAGAGAAGAAGGAGCAACACTCGGTCCTGTGGCTCGATGCTGCAAACATCCTCCGCTACCAGGGGATCTTGAGCAACATACTGTCGACCTTGAGGTCTTGGACCCTATAAGAGTTGGTGACGGACATAGTGCACAAGTCTTTAATGTCTGTGTCCTGAAGCCAGAGTCCAACACCGAGACATTTCAGGGGACAAGGAACTTGGTTGCTAAGGTGTATGATCCACTCTACCTCAATGATCACGGCGGTTATCTCAATCCATTTCTTTGCGTGGACAAGCATTACACCCATGAGGCACAAACGTATCGGGTGCTCTCCGATCTCCAAGGGGACCTGATACCCCGCTTTTATGGGTCTTATTCTACCGATATCAATTGTCAAGATATCGGTGACGACGCGGAGACAAATGAAATGTGTTCACGGACTGTCCGCCTGATCTTGATTGAGCATGTCCCTGGTAAATCGATACTACAAGCCGGCCCAGGCAATTTCCCCCCACGGGATCGTCAGCAAATCATGGAATCCGTGATAGAATTTGAGTCCGAGGTCTATAGACGAGATATACTACTTACCGACTTGAGTCCCAGGAATGTCATGATGGTTCCACCGGGCTCGCGCCGGCAATGCAACCTTGTATTTCTGGACTTGGCTGGCGCTCTCTTCGGCCGAAAGCTGGATGAGCCGCTGCTTGCCGGTAGGGAGTTTTTCCTCGGGCAGTACATCTCTCCAATACTGCGATGGAAGAAGGGTATGAAGCTTGAATTCGACGACTGGATTGACTGGGAATGGGCAGACTGGGTCGATGCGGAATTTGCTCATACCGCCCACACTATCACTCCGGCATTGCGTGAGAGATACAGTAAGAAATAGGTGTGCCCAAACGGCAGGATGGTTTCATGACTATTTTTCCTCTGCAAACCAACCGGATTCTACACACATCAGTGCATTCGAAACCAGGTTCAACCAGTTGAACTGCAATGCCAGCTCAGATGACATACCTCTATCGACGGGCATCGGATGGCAGAGTCTGACTGATCTTGGGGTGATACGGCAGGCATAATCACCAGGAAGCCCACGACACGCACTTGTGTGAATCATTCAAAGTCTATGCGCCTATTGCACTGGCCTAGAATGTACGTTTAAATAATTGGTTGATCGAAGCTTGTGAACGGCTTACCCTTGCTCTGAGTCATATGTTACTGCAGAATAATGGCGTGAGCAGGAAATGGGGATACAATGCCATACCACCTTCTCGACGAGCATAACACAATACCTCTCGGTCTGATCAATCCGCGGATGCGTGACAGTCACTTCGAGCACAACAACAGGAGATACGATCTGTCCTCTCGTTTTCTGGTATGTTCTCTCTAAAGAGGTCTATTTAGTATGCGGGAAAGAGAGCTATGGGCTCAGACGTGCCATTTCCATTTCATGGCGTAATACCACCCCTCGTTGACGCAGACGAAACTACATCTAGCATTTCTCCACTACTCCGAATATGCTGGTTTTCAAGCGTCATAAAACAATAACATCAAGGACGCAAGTTTTATGATATAATTGCAACAGGAAAGTCATTTGCTTAATCACAATATACAGACACATCCAAGCACGTAGTGATTGCTTTAGACGCCCTGCTTCGGATTGCTATTGGTACTCCGTAGTGGCACGAGTATTTCCGTATTTCCGTTACTTGCCACGTGTAATCCGTCACCGTCATAAATCATGCACTGTGTGATGTGCGTAAAGCAACATTCCTTTTTTTGGATCTGATGTAATGATGGGATCTAGTGTGACTTTTGTGGGTAATGAGTGCTACTACTCATGCGGGGGTTCTGTCCACGAGATGCACCTAACCTGGATATTACTTACTACCACTACGTGGGACGATGACATTGATTAGGATCCGATTTGCGGAGGCTTGGCCTGGGGAACCCCACACTAGATCCAGTGTGCTTATGCAGGTGCTATGATCTTCTCGAAGTGCAATCGAAGACACATGTGGGTCTACTAACTACAATGGCGCTAGAAGTTCCATGTGTGAAGGGTATGATAAAAATCTGTATTCAAACAGTATGTCCAAGGGTCATCGCTGAAAGTTCGACAAATGCAAAACTATGTACATCAAATGCTTCGTATCACCAAATCATGGCATGTGTTTCTGTTTTTTTACAGCTTCTCCTGGGTCTTGCTGGCCTTGTTGAACCGCTCGAAGGAGGAGACCGGGGGAGCGGAGTTGGGGTTGGGGTGGTGCTTCTTCAGAGCCATGGTGACGTTGTACTCCAGGTCGAGCTGGGCCTTGGGGTCATTGGTCTTGGGCTTGAAGTCGACAACCAGATCGTCCTTGACGGCGAAGACGGAGTCGATGTCGAGGTGAGGGTCGTCGGAGGGGTAGATCTGGTTGATGACGGTGGCGTAGTCGGGGTGGGTGATCATCAAGTGAATGTGGGCAGGACGCATGGGAGAGCGGTCCATGATGTTGAGGAGAACACCGGCAGGACCGTCGGTGGGGAGAGAGTAAGGAGTGGGGTGGTAGCAGTACCACCAGAACTCGCCCTTCTCGTTGGAGCGGAACTTGCCGCGAAGGTTGTTCTCGGTCTGGTTGGGGTCCTGGAAGTCGTACTGGCCGTTGGCGGAGGCTTGCCAGATGTCAAGAACGGCACCGACGATGGGAGCACCAGTCTCCATGTCCTTCAGAACACCGTGCATGAAGGTGACCTTTCCGTTGGGGTTGGGGTCCTGAATGATGCTGTCGCCGAGCTCACGGAAGGGAGCGTTGGGAGACCAGAAGGGACCGAGAATGACGTTGGAGGTGGGGGAGACACCGTCCTCAGTGATGATCTTGTTGGCGATCTCATCGACGAGACTGTGGGGAGATGAAAGTTAGCTTTGAGTTTGCTGCGACCGCTGTTGTTGTGTAGTTGGACTTACGATTCCAGACCGATGACATCGCAGATACGGTGGCACTCGTTACGGATGGGAGTGCTGATCTTTCCGATGGAGTTGATGAACTCGACACCAAGCATCCACTCAGCGGAGGTAAGCTCAACCTCACGAGCGAAGTCGTGAATGTGTCTGATCAGGGCGCCAAGGACCACACGAGCACGCTCGGGGGTCTTGGGTCCCATGGAGTTGACCACATAGGGAGTGAAGTTAGGGTCGAAGCGGCGGTTGGTAGACATGTTGTCTGTGTGTGTGTGTGTATGTATGGTATGAAGAGGAGAAAGGTAAAAGGTAAAAGGTTGAGAGAGGAGTGAGATGTAGAGTGATGAGAGACAAAAACTCAGCGAGGTCTGGAGGGTCTATATACACGATGAATTTGGTCGTGGCAAGTCTGGATAGAACGGCGAGCGACGGCAAATCGATCGGCTACAACTCCGTGTGGGGACAGTGCGACGGTACCAGACACCCAAAGTTACCGTTGCCACATGCCGACGGATCTGATGGGTTGCATGATGCGATGTTTCAGTTTTCGCAGTTCGTAGTGGGAACAGCCGAACGACGGCAGGTTGCATTTGCCTTGCCGAATTAGCAAGATTACCTGCATATCAAAATCGATAATTGATTCTGATATCAATCTGCATTGCTGCGCGGTGATCCCCGGGGTTGCTCTTACCCGCGGGTAAGTGCTCCCTGTCTTCCCCAGCTCTCCGCCTTCCTATCCGGACTGACGCCTCCTCGACGAACTGTTTTTCCGCCCTGCCGTTCACCTACCGACCAACAGCCTTGCTGGAATGGGCTGATTACACTTCTGGGCTACTAAGTACTATTCTCAAGGTGTGGACCAATCAAGATGGTTCAAGTAGTAATCCTACTTGGGGAAGTAGCTGAGCCTTTTGTCAGCTCTTCGATCTCTTCCCGATTCAAATGGCATCTTACGACATACCATCATGAATACACAGAATAGGTACTTCAATTATATTGGACTTTATTTCTAGTAGTAAATACAGAAGAACCTGTCACGATCAATGTCCTGGCAATCCCTCAATGCTGCTCTTAATTCTGCCGGCAAGTCGACGGCTGGCAATCCGGGGGCGGGGGCGGGGTGACTGCCGGGGGGAAAAACAAAAACCTGCGCTCTTCCCCAAAGAGGACAGCGGTGTGTGTGCCTTTACTTTTTGACGGGTTCTAATTGGCGCTGACCCTTTCCGGCCTCGAAGCCGATATGAGACCGGCATCCGGGCAGGACCCCGTTGCCGTTGGGCACGTGCCATCCTTAATCTCGGGATTGACAAGCGGGGCGGCATACCGATGCCCCGGTAAGAATGACCCCAGGTCAACCACGCTGCACTGTAGGGCAGTATCCGGGGTGGTGATTAACCACGGCTACCCCTGGGTGTCGTATGATTGTAAGCCGGGGGAGTGGATCTACCCTCTTCCCTCCCAACACGGCATCGCTGCCGAATCTGATTCACTCTTCCGTCGAGTTGAGAAATGCGGATGAGCTACCGGTAGAATCAACTATCTACTGCCGTGACAGGGCACTTATTATACACATCAGACCATATGTGACTATACCAGTATAGTGCCTACTCAACCTCGAAACAAGTTAATTGTCTTCAACAGTCTGGCGCCTTCCAAGCCAAGTTGAACAGCATTTGTACAGTAGTAGACAGTGTCAGACCTGTTTACCACGCGAGGGCTCTAGTATAGTTCACGCCAACTGTCAACCCAGCCTTCCACGCGTTGAGCTAGCCTGACTCAGTCAGTCAAACCTCATTGGCGCGCATTCCCGCCTGCGATCTATGCACCAAGGAGCCTAGCCACGTGCAACCAGCCTTAGTGATGTGGACCGGAAACCTACCAATACACCACAAATAGACACGAATGATAGACTCTTGTTCCCTGTTTAGCCGCGAGGGGCATCCGAAGAACTTCCCACGTCGTCAAAGCTCCAAGGCCACGACATTCCATCCGTTCTTGACAAGCGGATCCCGTCAAGGGACAAACAAATCCCCGGGAGTGGACACCAGGACCGTCCCGATTCCTTCCCCGGATATTCCCAAACCTTCTATACTTGGATACGTCTGCGGCAGGGACCAGACTAGGTCATAGTTGCAGTAGTCACTCCACCTAGTAATCTCTTGGCTGCCTGTTGTCATCGCCTGAGGCACCAACTGGACTTAAAACGGTCTAGACTGGGCTCTGCACGCTGTTCGATTAGTCTTTCCCCGGTATTAGCACGGCCCGTTCCTGGCTAACTGTCTATTGGTGCAGTCCCTGCAGTCGGAGGCTCCAGCAAGTGGTTCGTCCTGGTTCAACGTTCGTCGGGGAACCGTGTGGTCGTGGACACTTGTTAGCAATCCATTAAACATAATGCAAACTCCTCATATATATCTAATTCATCCAGTAGACTTTTTACCAGTTGAAATCCTTTATAGGGGAAACTCATTTGTACGCGATTCAGTTTTTGGAAGTCGTATAGATTTGGACATGTCTCATTGCGGAAGCCTTCATCATGGGTTTTTGCTTGCAATAGACCTTTTCATCAGCCAATGTAATATATGACTATTAAGTTTGATGTTTTTTTCTATAGCCTTAGTTAAATAAATCCGTTCTAAGCAGCTAATTTCAAGTTCTGATGTATGCCAAAATCCAACTGTCGAAAGTCGCGTTGGCTGATTTGTTCTGATGATGGTGTAGATATATATTTCTATGCCCTACTATATTCTAGTACCGTACTTCAGATAGTAGACGCTGAGCACCAGTTGGAAAAGGCCCTTCCAATAGACGAAAATGGCCAGTTAACTATAAGCCTTATTCCCCATTATATTCAACGATTACCCTAGAATGTATTTACGATCGAAAGTCTCATGTCTCATAATCAGACCTGTACTGAATTGCGCGACCATTGTTGTTGAGTAATATCGATGCCTCAGGCATGAATGCTTTCTACGCAACCCTAGCACCTTCAACCAAGGGCCAGTTGCAAACGTAGGAATCAATTGGCCGCAATAAAGATTATACTTTCCAATTCTGGCCACTCCATCACCCCATCTACGAATCAGTCCAATTTTGCTGCTGTGCTCCCATGGTCACCTCCTTGCCGATGCATGGTACATTGTTCCTCCGCTCCGCTGAGTCGGTTGGGGTCAGACCCGATCCTGCCCGGGGCGGCAGTTACGCTAACCGGCGACGCCCGGCCACTACAGGCTCGGTAGTTGAAGAATGTCAGCATCCGTGATCCTCCTCCTCTTTGGTTCCTGCCCCGGCTTCACTTGTCTCCGACTTGAAGACTTGGTCCTACCAGCAGCCACACGCGATCCTATTGGACACCGTCAAGGTACGATGATCATGTGCATCCAGGTTACATTTACTATCGATTCAGCAAAGCCTAATCCCCCTCGGGGTTGACCATAACTGTGACTGAGAATTTCTCTGATTCGCACTCCCCTCCCATCTATGACGCTGATCCTGGCCACCTACGGACAGCTTCTCCGCACTGAATCTCCACTGCCCCAGCACCTCCCCGGATTTCCACTGGCGCATCCATCCATTGCATCTAAGTAATGATATCAACCTCGTCCCAAATTTGAGATCCCATCTCTTCAGCGAGCATCATCACTCAATTAGATCGAAGATCAAGCTCAATTCCCCCAGGCCGCCATGTGCGATCCAGATACTACCCGTCGATCCCCCGCTTGGGGAAGACGATTGAACAGCCCCCTGGCTTGGAGATACAATATTCCTTCTCCTATTTAGCTAAATAGCAAAGACCCCAGTAGTATAAGCCCCTATCTTCCAATTCTTCACCATCTCAATGAAGACAGAATGCCTTCAGACAACCTCTCCATCTTCCCCTCAACATCAATGTCTTCCACCCCCAGTTCCCAGGAGAAACCCTCAACCACCGAACCAACCCTCGTGAGAACAAACACCTCCACAGCAACTCCCAATGACCCCTTCCACTTCGACTTCGGGCCCCTCGCCCACGTCAACACGGCAGGGACCACCTATCCCGCCTTCGCAGGCGAGCTCCAACCAGGTCTATGGAAGCCTCAGAAGCGCCGTAAGATGGCCAATCCCGCACCGTTAGGCCTATGCGGGTTTGCGCTCACGACATTCCTCCTGGGCTGCATCAACATGCAGACGCTGGGAATCGCCACTCCCAACATCATCGTCGGGCCTGCGTTCGCATACGGGGGTCTTGTCCAGCTTCTCGCGGGCATGTGGTACGTACATACCTCCAACTCATCCACCCACCCAACCAAAACCACTAACCAAATAAACCAGGGAAATGGCCGCCGGAAACACCTTCGGCGCAACCGCGCTCTCCTCCTACGGTGGATTCTGGATCTCCCTATCCATAGTCTTCATCCCCGGCGAATTCGACATCCAGGGGGCTTACAAAGCAGCCAATAATGGCAGCTTGTCGATGTTCTATGACGCATTCGGGTTATTCCTTATGGTACTACTGGCCCCCACCTCCCCACGCCCATAACCCCAACCAATTCTAATTTGGAATGAAATACATACAGGGCTGGTTCATCTTCACTTTCCTCCTCTGGCTCTGCACCCTCAAATCAACCTACGTTTTCTGCGCCCTCTTCGCAGCCGTTGATATCGCCCTCCTTCTCCTAGCAGTCGGGTATATACACCGCACAGCGCCGGAGGTGCCCAACGCGAAGATTATTAAGGCGGGTGGGTTGTTTGCGTTATTGGGCGCGTTCATGGCTTGGTATGTTGCACTTGCGGGCATCGCGGACGATAGTAATAGTTTCTTTCTTGTTCCCGTGTTTCATTTCCCGTGGTCGGAGAAGGGGAGGGAGTCGAGGAGGAAGGGGGAGAGAGAGAAGAGTGTTTGATTTGATCTTGATACCATGAATTTTTTGATGGATTATGGGTTTTTGTATGTTTAACGTGTGACGAGTTTGGGGTTCTTTGGGTTTGGGATGCTTGCTTTGTGCTTTTGCTTTTGGTACTTTGGATCGATATTTGGATGGATGAATGGTGGGATTTAGGCGCTTGGATTAGTACTTGACTTCTTACTTCTTCGAGTTTTTTTTTTTGGTACTAGACTTGTACCGTTCTAGAATAGACAAGACTCCATGTCTCCAAGCTAGATGATGATACGAATACCAATACATCTACTACCACCCAGAAAGCTAGAAAATTCAAAAGAAAACTAGACACGTACACCCAACATACGAATATGCGATCAACCACGAATCGTATATCAAAACAAGCATATCACACACCACCCCAACATCCCCACCCAACAAACCACCAGAGACAGCAGGATAATCACCACATCCGTAAATACGCCCCTACGCGCCTCCACCTCGGCATCCCATAATACACATCCAACCGCCGAATCTCCTCCGCAGTCAACACCGCCCTTCCCGTACCCAGATCAGCAGTGTTTGGATTGCGCCACTCGGTCCGAAAGAAAACCTTGTATAGTACCGTGGCAACGATGATTAATATGAGTCCGATGGTGTAAGAGAAGAAGTTGTATGCGGAGAAGGAGTCGTCGATCTATTGTCGATTAGTGATGGGGTTAGGGGTTACGGTTAGTGTGTGGTAGAGAGAGAGGAGGGTGCCTTACTGGTTTGATTCCCAGGTAGAGAATGCAGACGAGAAGTAGTGTTGATATGATAAGAACTGTTACTGGGGCTAGTGGCCATAGGGGGGAGTGCCATGCGTAGGCGGGGCTTGTTAGCAGCGTGCTGTTCTGCGCTTTGATGGCGGCGCGGAAGCGGAACGAGGTGATTGCGATGATGGCCCAGTTGGTGAAGAAGGAGGCGCTGGTTATGGCGATGAGCCAGTTGAGGACTTCGAGGCCGCCGGCTTTGATTATTTTCGTTAGTATTGCTAGGGAAGTTATGGATGAGGTGCAATGGACTCACCGCTCAGGCTCATGTAGGTGATTGTAACTCCTACAACGGCAGTAATGGCAAGTGCCCATCTTGGACGACCTTTGTCGTCGACTTTGGCAATGAACGAAGGTAGTAGCTTTTGAAGTGCCATAGTGCGGAGGATGCGAGACGGAAGGAACATGCCTTCTAGAGCGATGGCGAGGATGCCGATGATTAGACACGCATTGATGAGACTGGGAATACCCCTGATTCCGGCGTCTTCGACGGCAATCACAAAGGGTGACGTAGTCACGCTGGATCCGCCTAGTAGTCGTGAATCGTCTGAGGGAACAATGATTGAGACGAGCACCACAGAAACGAGATAGAAGACTGCTACTCGCCATGGGACTAGATTGGCTGCGTGTGCCATCGAGTAGCGAGGAGATTCGGCTTCGCCGCCCATGACTCCGATGAAGACCTGGTCACCAGTGGCCCAGATAGCAAGTAATGCGGCGTTGGCAAATCCCTGTTTCTATGGCTGAGCTCTGATCGGAGCACGATTTGCATGAGGGTACTCACACCAAAACCATTCTTGAATGCTGGGAGCTCTGTCCATGTACTTCCATCTCGTACATACCCCGACGGACCGGCACCGCCGATGATAGCCAGTGAGATTATCGTGATAAAGAGGAATAGTAGCACCTTTACCAAGGAGCCGAAGCATTCAAGCCAGCCGAAATACTTGTTCGGCACCAAGAAGACCGCCAAACAGATAACCAGGTATATCGTGACTACAGATGTAAGCAGGTACCGTGCGTATACGTTGAGGCAGACTCACGCAAAGCTGCTTCAGGAATGGCCCCGTCGGCCCAGAAGTTGACTAAAAGCACGAAGAAGGTCCCTTCAGACGCAAACACCGTCGTCCATCCTAACAATAGATGAGTTCATATGGCCGTTGGAATGTCTGAGCTCGGCCATTCACCTAGCCATTCTGCAACGCCAGCACCAAAAGCCAATGCTGGGTCAACCCATCGATCGGCGTAGTCGATGTAATTGCCTGACGTGGGAAACGCAATCGTCATCTCGGACAATGTTTGCAAGTTGGCCCAGACTCCGATGCAGACGATCAAATAGCCTAGGAACATGTTTCCTGGGCCTCCCTCGCCTAGAGCCTTCCCCGTCGCTATGAACAAACCACTTCCGACATTGGAACCCAGAGATATTACCTATCGTAATCAGTATACTTGTAGCCTGGGTTGTGAGATGGTGCATACATGAATCAGACGTGGAGTTAATGTTCGATGCAGTGTCCCTGATCCTTCCACGTCGGAGTCTATCTGACCTTCGTCCACCGAATGTGTGGGCGTGAGATCCAGTGGTTTCTCACTGCACAATTTTGAGGAGGTTTCTGGTCCATTGCTAAATTTCAATTGGGAATTCATGACAGCAAGTTGAGTAGTAATTCAATTGGGTTGAGATTGAGCGATCGCCAAAGAGAGGAAAATAGAATGATCTTAAAATAAGGTGTTGCATGTAGGGTATGTAACTATCGGTATGTCAACTCGCTCTCACCTTCCCGTTCCAAGATCTCCGCACTGATAAGAGGCAAGCAGTGGTTGATCCGACTCGCTCCTGACCTATCAATGATCAGCTAGGCGGGGATTCGGACCTCAGTTGGTTGCTGCTAAAGCACGGGAACGATTGGCAAGATAAGGGGTTTCGCAGGTGCTCATTCCGAGTTAACTCAAAACCCCCATCCTTAGCTCATCAGGTCTTCTCTACATTGTAGTCCACGGAAGGTTGTGCATTCCAAGGAGGTCTCGAACGTGCCATACCCTCTGGACAAATTCAAGGGCCACGGTAAACATACGGTTCCCGGTGCTCTCCACAGATCGTTCTAGCCATCTAATGAAGGCTTGTCTGGTCTGAGATTTAAGTGCTTCATACACGGCGACTCCCCGTCATCATGCATTCAAAGATCAATTCACAGTTCTTTGCGTCTTCATGATGAACTTAAGACAAGGGGTCCTCTGCTTAACGCATGGTTGTAAGATTGTCGGATTGATGCCCCTTTCGCACCGATGATTGGTAATGATTAAGAGCTTATGAACTGCCTGGATGAGGTGACACGGCATACATGGCAAAACCCAAATCTGACTGTCCAGCATGAAGGAACGTGTCTTGAAATGCCAACGGCTCGATGCCCGGGACATAGTCGAGTCTTTATTTGCAGTAAGAAATGCCAGTCCCTGGGGGTTTAAATTGATGTTTGACATGATATCAGAGGATACTGGACCAGAGGCCTGATGTAATACATGAAGAGGTCCATTGCCCAGCATGTAGCTTGCCCATACTGATTGCCTTGCTTGTACAATTCATCAGGATGGATGCAAGCGAGGTACCGTGTGTGAGTGAAAGCAGCTCCGAGGCATTTTAGGTGCTGTCCTACCACACTGATCTGTGATGACTGTATCTTAAATAAGCTACCACCTCAAGGTAATACCGTTGAACAAAGGTCTCCTGCGTGCATGTAGCTCTTCCCGGGCACTCGTGCATGAGGCCAGCGCGGAGAGAGCCAAAGCAGACGCGGTGGGTCCGATGGGCGCTCAGGGTTGAGCTTCCGCTTCCCACCATCGAACACCGGGGCCGGGCTCGGTCGCATCTCACCTTCCTGGCTCGACAGGAAGAACAAGCAGCGTGGGAGGCAACAATGCGCGTCTGTAGCCTCTTTGGACTGTAAGGAAGCCCGGGCATGACTATCTCGACAAGTCAGAATGGTTGCGATACTTAGTTTCATGATGATTGGCTGTTGATGCGGGGTTTGCCTATGATATGTTATCACCTTGAGACACCTAGTAGGGATCGAGTTGCCATTCACGTCGTCGCAAGACGGTTAGATGCGGAGAAGCGCTTTAGGATGATTGGCGACTGCGGCTCCACCTGCCAAAACAGCCTGGAGATACTCCGCTTCGGGGTCACATACTTGAAGCAAGCTGCCACTAGAACAGATAAGAAGCCGTCCTACCGCTCGATATGCAGACTGCCATCGTGCTATATCACCACGAAAGACATCTCTTGCTGTTATGGCTGTCAAGCAGCTCCCGATTCAACGCATCGACCGAGCCGACGTGGAGGCCATCATCCAAGCCATCATCAAGGATGGCTGCTGTATCATCAAGGATTTGACGGATGCGGCAACTATAAAGCAGGTCAATGAGGAAGTGCAGCCTTACCTTGATGCCGACAAGCCCTGGAAGGTGGGTGGACAGACCCTTTCGGACCCTTGCACGTCTAACAATATCAGGGTGACCTTTTTCCACCTGAAACACGCCGCTGTGCGAACCTCGCAGGCCGTAGCAAAACTGCCCGGGAAAACTGGCTGGTCGATCCGCTCATTCGTGCTCTGACAGCGAGGTTTGTTGATAAGACAACTTCCAACTTCTATGGAGAAACAAAGCATACATATACCAGCGAGGCGATCTGCTCGATCGCGATGACATTTGACATAGGGCCTGGTGCCAAGGCACAGCGGCTTCATCGTGACGATAAGAACTTTCATGTAGATCATGAAGACCAGAGCACTACGGGCTATCGGGTGGGCTCGGATGTAATGATGGCCTTCATGGTCCCCGGGGTCAAGACAACAGTCGAGAATGGTGCCACCATCGCCATCCCCGGTAGTCACCTGTGGGGTTCCGACCGGGCACCCAAGCTGGACGAGGCCGTCGCGGCGGAGTTGGATGTGACCGACTGCTGGGTGATGCTGGGAGGACTGTACCATGCAGGGGGCGCGAACGTCACACAAAATGAGCGACGGGTAGTACATGGCATGTTTTTCACGCGCGGATTCCATCGACAGGAGGAGAACATCTATCTTGCCAA